GCTTTTCTCAGCTTTTCCTTATTCGTATTCGTATTCTTATTCTCATTACAATTCTAATTGGGATGCCACCCGAGGCGGGGCGCTGGAATTATTTATTTTCCTTCCATTTGCGCGGTGCTAATAATATCGCTCGGCGAAAACCCCCCCAAATAATTATTTAATTACGGCGCGGTGCTAATGATAACGCCGGGGGGTTCCTTAATTGCTTCTCCGGGTTGGACCCCGCCATTCCTGGGGGGCTGCGATCTGAGGACCTGTCGCCGCTTTCGAGGGCTGCTTGGAGGGCCAGCATAGTGGGCACCCTCCGCGCTGATCCGAAGTTCGCGCCAGAATAGATATCGCCATCAGATCTCGCCATCAGATCTGCTGGCGTGCCTCGAACCATAGAATCTCTCCTTCCTTTGCCCTCCTCTCGTCACCACTCCCTTTCCTCCAGCTGCCATTTCTCCAGCTGCCATGTCCTCTTGATGCTGCCAGGGCAGGAATCAGAGGTAACATGCCTATACTTTTCCTCCAACTCTTCACCCCTCCTCCCCTTGCGTCCCTGCGTCCCATTGCTGCCGCTTCAGAGGGCTGCTGGGGGAGGCAGCGTAGCGACGTTTCGTTGCAAATTCAGCTTAGTAGACCTTGCCATCCACAGGGGGATGCGATCTGCGAAGTTGTCATCACTTCCAAGGGCTGTTGCGGCTCATGGGTCCAACGAATCACCTCTATCAAGCCCTTGTTCCTTGATCGGTGTCCTGCGAGTCGCGCAGTTCGCGAGCCTCCCGACTGTCGTTCGCAGAAGCATCTACCTCCTTCCCGCGTTATCGCACTCTATAACGTATTCCCAGCAAGTATGACCATGCTTTGCGCAGGGGTTGGGTACATTGTCAGGGTAATTGATCCAATATCCTGGTCTTTGGATATTGCGCTTGAGTGTCATGTGGTGTGTGAGTGCATGTCGACGTGAGCAATCTTCAACCAATGTCAGCTTCTCGCTGTACTTTCCAGGCAGCCCGATGAGGGGCGCCCACTCGCAACACCAAAGACCTTGGTTTTTGCAATTTGAGATATCCGCCAGCGCTCAACGGTCGACGCCTTGCGCTCCTCCCTACCCCCTGTCCTCCCTCCTCCCTCCTCTTTCTTCCCTCTCACTCCGGGCACAGGGATGACCCTGATGCCACCGATCGACGACGACGACGACCTCCCTCTTCCTCCCTCTCTCTCCCTCCTCTTCTTCTCCCCCCTCTTCCTCCCTCTTGTTCCCTCCTCCCTCTTCCTCCCTCCCTCCTCCTCCCTCTTCCTCCCTCCTCTTCTCCGCTCCTCCCCCTCTCCCCCTTCTCCGCCTCATCCCCGCCCTCCTTTGCACCAGGCGGCGCGCGGGCCCTGGGCATCGCCGCTGGTGCCGCGCCCGCGTGTCCGCCGCGGGCGCGCAAGCGCCGCGAACGGGGCGCTGGCGCGCGCGAGAACAGGTGGGGGCTAGAAGGGGCGTCGGCGAGGGTTGAGAGGAAGGCGGGAGGGGGAGGAGGATGAAGGAGCCTTTGATGAGGACGGATTGGGCGAAGGAGGAGGAGGAGGAAGAGGAGGAGGAACAGGTGGAGGAGGAGGAGGATTCGATTCGATTCGAGTGCCGTGGGGACCTGGTCAAGCCAGGGCACTGCTGCAGCTCAAACCATGGGGAAAGACCCTCCCGACTTTGGCGGGAGGCCCCTCGACAAACGGCTCAAGACCTCCGCTCCCGACTTTGTGGGACCGTGAGGCGGGCATTCATTATCCAGATTGCGTACATTGTCCGTGCCGAAACTCCCACACCAAACACAAAAGAGCAGGCCACGATACACAGACAACGTGTGGGACATGTGCACCTGTGCGTACAAGACATGCAAGACGGGATCGTTCGAAGCCAAGGCGCGCGCTCCACAACATTTGCCTGGCCAGAGCTTAACAAGCGGGCCTCGCAACGGGAATTTGCGAGCACAGATCTGACAGGCCAGAGCACATCTGCGCTTCCGAGTCTCGTGTCCAGCAGCACGGAGTCTCTTGCGGCGGGTATCAAAGGAAGACATCGCGCGAGGGCGAGGAGGGGGCCTACCGACTCTGGTGGCGGCCCTCCTCGGACAAGAAGTGGCCACCTTTATATTTACTGCAAGGAGGCGGCCCAGGCTACTGTGAGTCATAGCATCGATTCGCTGGATGGACTGGACAACGTCGTGTGGGACAGCACACTGTTCAGCAGCCCACCCAGCAAAGTAATCGGCACACCAATTAAGGGAATATTCGTCCCTAGAAATCCCGTACAGCACTTGTTTGGCCAGGGACGTGTGAGACTTAGTCCACAACACATTGATCCGATCACGCGGCCGACCATCGATCTCACCCCAAATCAAGATCCACAGATCAATCATGAGGATTATAATGACGGGTATGATGATTTGTGGTTGATGGACGGATGAATGGATGGATGGATGAACGGATGAATGGATGGAATAATGGATGAATGTATGGATGTTGATGCTGATGCTGATGATGACGATGCCGACCACGACGATGACGACGATGACCATGGCAATGACGAAGGTGATGATGATGATCCTGCTGCTGCTGCTGCTGCTGATGATGATGATGATGATGCTTAGGATTGTGATGGTGATGGTGGTGGTGCTGTTGGTGGAGGATGACCATAGGTACCTCAGGATTAACCCGTGTGCCTACGGTAGGTTTGTGTCGTGTCGACCGGCGGCGACCCCCGCGCGGGCGTTCAAGGTTGAACGCCGCCGGCGACCCAGAATCGATCGATGTTGAACGATCGGACGTTGTGGAGACGGCCGATCGTTCAAGGTTGAACGATCCCTGCGGTGTCAAAAACCAACGCCGGGGTCGTCACGACACGAACCTGCCGTACAAGACTTCCTGTCGTCTCAATGACATACTTTGCGATTCGACCATCGCCACCCCGAGACACAGCCTCCTGCACGACATGCCTTCGGGCAAGCGCCCCGTCTTGCAACGACCTGCCTCCACGGCCATGAGGACTATGCGAGCTGGCCACGCCACACTCATGCCGGCGACGCGCCTGGCGAGAGCCCTGTGTTGAGCACGAGCCGCCCTCCGTCCGTGTAGCTGCTGCGCATTTCTTGATACAGTGTGGGATTGCTGGATTGCAATCCTGGGTTTTTTTGCAATCCTGTTTTTTTTTGCAATCCTGTTTTTTTTTTTTTGCAATCCTGGGTTTTTTTGCAATCCTGGGTTTTTTTGCAATCCTTCGTAGCTGCTGCGCATTTCTTGATACAGTGTGGGCGCGCACCAAGAAACCATCTACTCTTCGTCGGGGTATCCTGGGTTTCTTTGCTCCGCGCGTTGCGCGGCGACTTCCCGCGGCCGTCGAGGGAGCTGCTGCGTTCAGGGTGCTCCAGGCTTCCCCTCCGGTGCACCTCGCGCGCGGGCTTTCAGGGTTGGGTTTCTTGCGAGGGTTTCTTGCGGCCGCGCCCGCACTGTATGTGTTCATACTTGTTGCAGCTGTCTCAGGCGACAGCCTCTTGCCGAAAACAGGCCGCTCTCCATCCTTGCAACCGTGGGAAGCTTTCCGGGGCGGATGTGCGCGGTGCTTGGGCGAGCGCCTCACATGTGCGCGGCGGCGCTAAGGCGACGGCCGCGTTTGGAAAACCAGTCGCCCTCCATCCGCGTAGCTCTCGGAAGTTGCAGGCTTCGCCGTACTGGTCCGTGTCTCAGGCGAACAACCTGGCATGCCCGATGTCATGCTTACCCTGTCTCGAGCTTCGCCATACTAATCCTGTCTCAGGCGACGTCCTGACGATGATGGTGATGTTGATGATGATGATGATGATGATGATGACGGTGATGATAGCGATGATGATTGTGATTGTGATGGTGATGAGGATGATGATGCTGATGCTGGTGAGGATGATACTGATGCTGATGATGATGATGGTGATGTTGCTGCTGATGGTCATGATTATGATGATGACGATGCTGATGATGATGATGAGCAACATTGTGAAAACTATGATGCTGATGAATCGTAGGGTCACGATGATGATGGTCCGATGATGATGCTGGCGATGGCAATGGTGTCGATTCCGATCATGCTGACGAGGTCGATGGCGATGATGATGATGACGATGACGATGGCGATGGCGATGACGATGATGATCATGCTGATGATGATGACACTGATGAGGACGACGTTGACGATGACGACGACGACGATGATGATGTTGCTGATGATGCTGATGATCGTGATGATGGTCGCGACGATGATGAGCATGATGATGAGGAGGAGACTAAGGATGAGGATTATGATGAGGATGATGAGGAGGATGAGGATGATGGCAAGGATGATGATGAGTGTGATGATGATGAGGATTATGAGGATGATGAGGATGATGAGGATGGTGAGGATGATGAGGATGATGATGCTGATGCTGCTGCTGATGATGATGATGATGACGATGATCATGATAATGATGGTGATGCTGCTGATGATGATGATTATGATGATGCTGATGATGATGATGACCATGATGATCCTGCTGATGATGCTGCTGATGATGATGATGTTGATGATGATGATGACGATGATCATAATAATGATGGTGATGCTGATGATGATGATGCTGATGATGATGATGCTGATGATGAGGATGATGATGATGATGACTGATGATGATGATGATGATGATGCTGAGGATGATGATGATGATGATGATGATGATGATGATGATGATGATGATGATGATGATGATGATGATGATGATGATGATGATGATGATGATGATGATGATGATGATGATGATGATGATGATGATGATGATGCTGATGATGATGAGGAGGATGATGATGATGATGATGATGATGATGATGATGATGATGATGATGATGGTGATGGTGATGGTGATGGTGATGGTGATGGTGATGGTGATGGTGATGGTGATGGTGATGGTGATGGTGATGGTGATGGTGATGGCCGCCGCCCGCGCGGCGCCCCTCCCCGCGCCCAGGCTGCGATTCCACTCCGCGGCCTGGGAGCCCGTCGCGCAGGAGCGCCCCCCGCCCCCCGCGGGCGGCCCCCGCGGGCGCGGGCCGGCGGGCCCACGGGGTGCCCTCGGGTGATGTCGGGGGCGGAAAAGAGTTCAGGAGGAGGAGGAGGAGGAGGAGGAGGAGGAGGAGGAGGAGGAGGAGGAGGAGGAGGAGGAGGAGGAGGAGGAGGAGGAGGAGGAGGAGGAGGAGGAGCAGCAGGAGGAGGAGGAGGAGGAGGAGCAGCAGGAGGAGGAGGAGGAGCAGGAGCAGGAGCAGGAGGAGGAGGAGGAGGAGGCTGTATCTCTCCGGTGCCCCCCAAAAAGTGTGCAGTGGCCGCCGCCGCCGCCGCCCTCCCACCCCGCCCCCGCCGCCGCCGCCGCTGCCGGGCCCCCGGGGCCCGCGCGAGGAGTGCTGGCTGCCCCTCGGGCGCCGGCACCTGCTCGGCGCGGTGGGCGGCGTGGTCTCCCCTCCGCGGGGGCGGGGGGGGGGGGGCCACGTGCTGGGGGCGCTCGCGGGGCCCCGGGGGCGCCAAGGGAAGGACTCCTCGGGAGGGAAGAGGCACACAGACACAGTGGAGCATTGATTCCCTAGAAAAAGTGTGG